ACATCTACGTACTTTTTGTTAGGGCCAAAAATCATCTTAGGCTTAACGAGGCCTAATAACGAAATAAACATGTCACGGCCCAATGCCTCAGTCCAATCCCGATTGGGCCTACACTTAAAATCACCTTGCGACCTACTCACTCTATGAGTTGGGCTATCCTATAAGTTAAGCTAAACTGAGTTTCAGCCCATTAGCCTGCAACAGTCTATAAATAGGAAATCAGAATCTCATTCTATTTCCTTTTCTACTAAGATTCTAAATCTTACTCAAACTATTAAACTTAATCTGATAAGATCAATAAATCATATCTCTTTCATGATAGGGATTATCTCCCAAAATATGACTTAGTGTTCTACTAAGATTCCAAATCTTATTTAAACTATTAAACTTAATCTGATAAGGTCAAAAAATCATATTTCTTTCTTGGTAGGGATTATCTCCCAAAAAAGAGGACTCAATGTCCTACTAGGATTCCAACCCCTTGGGTTCACTATAAAAACAGAGGTTTACCCTCTCATTAGGAGGCAATCTCCCATAGTCAATCTAGACTACTCAAAATCATCTATTTGCTCTTAAGTTCTTGCTCCCAAGAACCCGATGCCTCCGCCATAGTCTTAGCGTCCGACAAGACTCCTGGTAATTCTTTATCTTCTTAATTCTTATAAAATAATCTATTTCAGCCTCGCTGACTTGAGCGTAAGAGTGCCTACGGCAAACACCACCTCGGTGTTTTCCGGAAGCTTCATGGTTGCCCTTTCATGTGTGCAGGTCTAGCGGATTTTCAGTGGCCTCAAACTCACGGGATCAGACCCTATTTTATGACGGTAGATTTTTTGCATCTACAGTTTGGCGCCCACCGTGGGGCCTTGACAATCATCTGCGAACGACGACTTACAACATGGGAGGTGACACGAAACTCCTTTTGACTAACAATGTTAATCAGAAAATCCTATCACAATAAGAATTTTTCTTTTTCTTTATTTTTTTTTCGTTTGTTTTATCTATTCACATGCCATATTATATCTATTCGGCATATCGTAATTTATTTTTTATTTTATCCATTCAGCGGGTAGTATAAGATCTTGAAGCTCATATTATTGTTCTAAATTAATAATAGAATAATAATGTGTTAAAGTTTAAAGTGGTGTTCCTAAACCACTTGATTCATTGACTTTGCTTCAACAATCTCTCTTCTCTAATCCTCTCTTCAGATAAGACAATAGCTTCTGTCTCTAACCTTTCTACACGAGCTTTTTCACTTTAATCGTCAAACCACCAGGTGGTCCGCCACCGTCATCAGAGCTTTGCAATGCATTACCCACCACAAAACCAGTCAATTTGTTCATTCAAGAAGATGCTGCAATACGCCAGCATCTCCAGAACCTTCACTCCATTAGAAGGTAACTCAAACTTGACCAGCCTTGATCCAATCCCAATTCAACTTCACAGAGATTTGCCACCACTTTGAAACCCAAACCCCGTCCATCTGTTCTCCTAAAATCGCCCTAACAGCTTCTCCAATCACACAGTGAAATCCTAAAAACACAGTAGTAATCCTCTCAAAACACCTAAAGTCATCTATTAAACATGAAGAGAAACCCCCTAAACAAAACCTGCTTAAGTGACGCCACCCTACTCTCGCCTAATCTCCTTCTCCTTACCCCACTGTATTCCAAAACTCCAAACTCGAATCATCGCCCCTTCCCAACCAATACATATTAACTCAAACCACCTTCACATCACAATCTCCAACACACTTGTCACAAAAGCCCTCACGCTCTTCGCTGTCTGCAAACTTTCCACTCCCCACTACAACTCAACACCACTAAACAACACGAGTAGTCCACTCAATGATATTTGGGTCTGCACATATGATATTAACGTGCCCATTCGGATAAGCCCAAAAATGAATCACGTGCCCACTCAACTTCAGCTGGTTCAGTTCCGACATAGAAAGTAACACCCTCTCTCCACTCGGTCCAGCAAGCATGGGTGGTAGCACTTGAAAGGGAAAGGTATGTGTCATTGTCTCTTTTTAACTACCAATCTATTTGGTTAAATCTTTCTCTATTCGGCCCATTACTTAAATACATGCAGCCCATTTTTCCATTTAGCTCATTCTTTATTCAGTCCATAACACATGCACATCATACATATTAACTCTCAATTCGACTATTTGCTTAAAACATGCATGCCATGCATGTCACTGCTCCAGCTTCAATCGAATGTTTTCAACTACAAAGTCAGTCACGCCGACTGGGCCACATAGCCCTCAAAGGTTTCAACTACAAGTCGATCACACCGACTTGACTGCAAGCTCCATACAAGCTCCACTTGGCATACACCTTCGGATCGGCCCTACCCGATCCATATATTTACACCTTTGGATCGACCCTGCTCAATCCACAGATTTACACATTCGGATTGACCCTACTCAATTCATAGATTTACACCTTCGGATCGACCCTGCCTGATCCACGGATTTACACCTTTGATCGACCCTGCTCGATCCACGGATTTACACCTTCAGATTGACCCTGCTCGATCCACGGATTTACACCTTCGGATTAACCCTACTCAATTTACGGATTTACACATTCGGATCGACCCTACTCGATCCACGAATTTACACCTTCGGATTGACCCTGCTCAATCCACGAATTTACACATTCGAATCGACCCTGCTCGATCCACGGATTTACACCTTCGGATCGACCCTGCTCGATCCACAGATTTACAAATTTGGATTGACCCTGCTCAATACACGGATCTACACCTTTGGATCAGCCCTACTTGATCCACGGATTTATGCCTTCGGATCAACCCTGCCCGATCCATGGATCTACACCTTCGGATCAGCCCTGCCCGATCCACGGATTTACACCTTTGGATTGACCCTGCTCGATCCACGGATTTACACCTTCGGATTGACCCTGCTCAATCCATGAATCTACACCTTCGGATCGGCCCTGCCCAATCCACATATTTACACCTTCGGATCGACCCTGCTTGATCCATAGATTTACACCTTCGGATTGACCCTTCTCGATCCACAGATCTACACCTTCAGATCGGCCCTGTCCGATCCAAGGATTTACACCTTTGGATTGACCCCGCTCGATCCACGGATTTACACCTTCGGATTGACCCTGCTCAATGCACGAATCTACACCTTCGGTTTGGCCTTGCCCGATCCATGGATTTACACCTCCGGATNTCCACGGATTTACACATTCGGATCGACCCTGCTCGATCCACGGATCTACACCTTCAGATTGACCCTGCCCGATCCATGGATTTACACCTTCGGATCGGCCCTGTCCGATCCACGAATCTACACCTTCAGATCGACCCTGCCCGATCCAAGGATTTACACCTTCAGATCTATCCTGCTCGATCCACAAATTTACACCTTCAGATCGACCTTGCTCGATCACGGATTTACACCTTTGGATCGACCCTACTCGATCCACGGATTCACACCTTCGGATCGACCCTGCTCGATCCACAGATTTACACCTTTGATCGGCCCTGCCCGATCCATAAAGCTACACATTCAGTCGGCCAGACCGGTTGAAGGGTTCTTACACCTCAAATCCACAAGTCATCAACCTAATCCACACAACGATCCATCCGACCTAACGAGCTGCTATCACTAATCCGCTCAGTCTGCACTGTCGATTAAATCTACTCTCTAAGCTAAATACTCTTTAACTTAGAGAGTGGGGGGCTAACTGTTAGGGCCAAAAATCTTCTTGGGCTTGACGAGGCCCAATAACGAAATAAACATGTCACAGCCCAAGGCCTCAACCCAATCCCGATTAGGCCTACACTTAAAATCACCTTGCGACCTACCCACTCTATGAGTTGGGCTTTCCTATAAGTTAAGCTAAACTGGGTTTCAGCCAATTAGCCTGCAACAGTCTATAAATAGGAAATCAGAATCTCATTCTATTTCCTTTTCTACTAAGATTTCAAATTTTACTCAAACTATTAAACTTGATCTGATAAGGTTAAGAAATCATATCTCTTTCATGATAGGGATTATCTCCCAAAATAGGACTTGATGTCCTACTAAGATTCCAAATTTTATTTAAACTATTAAACTTAATCTGATAAGGTCAAGAAATCATATCTCTTTCATGATAGGGATTATCTCCCAAAATAAGACTTAGTGTCCTACTAAGATTCCAACTCTTATGTAAACTATTAAACTTAATCTGATAAGGTCAAGAAATCATATTTCTTTCTTGATAGGGATTATCTCCCAAAAAAGAGGACTCAATGTCCTACTAGGATTCTAACCCCTTGGGTTCACTATAAAAACATAGGCTTGCCCTCTCATTAAGGGGCAATCTCCCATAGTCAATCTACACTACTCAAAACCATCTATTTGCTCCTAAAGTTCTTGCTTCCAAGAACCCGACGCCTCCGCCGTAGTCCTAGCTTCCGACAAGACTCTTGCTAATTCTTCATCTCTTTAATTCTTATCAAATAATCTCTTTCAGCCTTGCTGACTTGAGTGTCGGAATGCCTACGGCAAACATCACCTTGGTGTTTTCCGAAAGCTTCACGCTTGCCCTTTCATGTGTGCAAGTCTAGCGGATTGTCAGTAGCCTCAATCTCACAGGATCAAACCCTATTTTCATGACGGTAGATTTTTTGCATCTACAATAAGATGTAGTATTACCAGTTACCGATGATATAATTCTTAACAATAAATAATTTATCGACTTGATCAACTTAACCTTATAATAGAATATGAAGATTTAACCATCAATTATGAACCACCAGTTAGTATAAATAATTATAATTCAATATGCATACATATTAGATTGTAACTATAAATTCAAATAACTTATACCAATTTAATATTTATATCTTAAAAGAAATAAAAAATTAATGTTTTTTCAAGTTTAAATTCTTACTCATATGACTATATTATAAATTATGAATGAGGTAGTAATTAATATCCAAAAAAAATCATTTCTATTCAACGATTAAGTTAAAATGGAATCAAAACAGTGGCATAGATCTATATATTGATTAGCACCATTTAATTTATGGAAAATCCATATCAAACATCTAAATTATAAGACCACATCAGGGAGTTTATGATATAATAAATATCTTTAGTGAAGTTGTAATCCTAATCTCCCTTGTTGATATTATAATTATCCTAATTTTATGTAATGACCAGTAGCACATTAAAAAAAAAAAAAAAAAATTCACCAATCTCATCAATATGAAACTTCATAAGCTTTTGGTGATAGCCTGGGCCTCGGATGGACGATCAAGGGGTCCGCCCGTTGTAAAGTGAGCCCAAAAGCCTCTTCCATATTCAATTTATCCAATGTCAGCCCGCTCGGAAGATCCCAATCAAAGGCATGGATCAATGTGGCCGTAAGCAGTTGGACCATGCGCAAGCCCATGCTCATGCCGGCGCAAATTCTTCGTCCGGCGCCAAATGGTATAAGCTCAAAATCATTTCCCCTAACGTCAACATTAGCCTTTTCTCCCCCGGGTAAGAACCTTTCGGGTCGGAACACTAGCGGCTCAGCCCATTCATTAGGGTCACGTGCGATGGCCCATACATTGACCAACAATGTAGAACCCTTCGGGATGTGGTAACCATTGATCTCACAGCTCTCAGCAGCTATTCGGGGTAAAGACAACGGCGTTGACGGGTGCAGCCTGAACGTTTCCTTGATGACGGCCTGGAAATATGTGAGTTTCGGTAAGTCCAATTCGGAGACCAATCGGTCTCGGCCCACAACCGAGTCGAGCTCATTTTTCACTTGGACCAAGATTTTGGGGTGGCGAATGAGTTCTGCAATGGCCCATTCCGTAGTGCTTGAGGAAGTGTCGGTCCCAGCTGTAAACATGTTCTGCAACAATTCAATGGAAATGTTAGTTGATGGGGTCACAGAGTCAAAGAGTTTTAGGTGTTTGGTTAAATACTGGGAAACAAAGAGTCCACGTCGCACCTTAAAAGAGTGAGTGAATCAGAATCTCTTTGAAAAATGCAATACAAACAAAACAAAATTGAAATGGGGCCTTGTCTTTCTGGGTATTGGGTAACCTTAATTATGCATACGACAATCAGGGGAAGCTGTGGGCTCCTTTATGTTATGTGTAATCAAGATAGTTATATGTCAACAGTCAACAATTATGGAAGGAGTATGATTACCTTACCTGATGGGTGAAATGTTATTAATGAAACCTCAGGGGGGAAATAAACTCATAAAACAATTATGTAACTAATAATAATTGATATTTATTAAATAGAATATTAAAATGAAGGACGAGAAAGTGAAGTTACCAAAAGTAACGCTTTAATTTCAGTTTCAGTGAGCTTCTCTCCCTCATCGTCAGCATTTTCCATCAACGAAATCAACGTACTCAACAAGTCCGTATGTTTTTCCTTCCCATCATGACCGTGCATTTTATGCTCCTCCACAATATCGCCCAAAAACTTGTCGAATCTTTTATGAAGCTTCTTCATCTTCGCTGCCACTCCCTGCAAGTCTAGCCACTCGAGAGAAGGGATAAAGTCGCCGATGTTGACAACTCCGGCCAAAACCATCACCTCCACCACCATCGATTTGAACTCATCAGCCTTCGGATCTTTGCCTCCGGTTCCGTCACCGAACACTCTCCGGCCGAGCATCACCCGCGATAGGGCGTTCACGGTGCACACGTTAAGAAGTTGCGCCAAGTTCACTTGCTCTGACTTTGACCCCGCGCTCACCAACGCACGTGTGAGCCCCGCCACCTCCCCCTAAATAATAAATAATTGATTCATCATAATCACGATAAGAGATTGAAAAGGAGTGCCACTAGGCACAGATCCAACGGTTCCGATAAGAGAATGAGAATCTCAGCTAACACATAATAATTTAAATTGTTCACAATCCAAAATGTCAACTTCAACAACATCACTAGAACTTTCTTGAGTTTCAAAAATACGTAGAAAACTGAATTACAATATATTAAAAATAATTTATAATTCACTGTGTGAACCCAGAGTTGAGTGGATGAGGGCTGAAGAGTCCATTCAACTGTATTTTTTAATTTTTTCATACGGGCTAATTTCATAATTCTCAAACGTCTCAACAACTTTGAAAAAAGTAGAATAAAAACTCCTCTTAAAATATAACAAAAATTTCTTTAAAATATTAAAAACTTTTTTTAAAAATATTAGTCAGTGCAAAATGCCCATTTTACCCTTGTTAAAATCCTGATAATTAAGCTGATTTCCTCCGTTGAACTGAAGAATCAAAATATACGTTGAGCTTTTTCATGCATATATGACAACTTCTTAATTAAAACAAACCTGTCGAACACTTCTGTAATCATCCAAGGCCTTGCCGGAGAAAAGATGGACGGAGCTAATCTTCCTCAACAGCCGCCACTTTGCGCCGTATGGTCGGAAAACAAGGTCCTGATAATTATAGGCAATATGTTTGGCACCGGAGTTCGGCGGCCGGCTTGAGAAATTAGTATCATGGACCTTCAAGAATTGGGCTGCCACCGACGCCGAAGCCGCCACGATGACATCAACAGAGCCCAGGCGGAGGTGCATGAGCGGGCCATAAGTTCGGGCCAGCGCCGCCAAAGAGTGGTGGGGCATCTGGCCCATGTGGGTGAGGTTCCCGATAATGGGCCGCGGCTTTGGGCCCGGAGGAAGACGGAGGGATTTCCGGTTGAAAAGTGAACTTAAATGGAAGATGAGATAGATAAAGACGGCAAGAAGTATGGAATAAAGTATGAAAGGAGACATGATTTTCCAGTTTTGTGAGGAAGAAAATGTCATAATAGACGTAAAGAGAAATAGTCTTGAGAATTGTTATATAGGAAAAACAAGCCGTGTGTAGATGTGATGAAACAGTGGTCTGTTAGGTGGTGTCATATTATACAACTACCAAACTTGGTAGATGCACGTGAAGTGAAAAGCAGTCAGGCAAATAAAATAAATCGTAAATAAAGGCTTTCACTTCAACCAGTAAGTTCGAGCTTTAACTCTTAATAATTAACAAGTGATTTGTCTTAAATTTTTGCATTAAATTACTGTATTAATTAACCAATTTTCATCAAGTTTTATAAAAATATGTTTTAAAAGAGGTTACTTAAAGTTATAAACATTTATTTTGTGTTGCATCTCAAAAATATTTATATAATTTAAAATAAATTACTTTAAATTTATTTTTGTAAACGGTAAAATCTATGATTATAATTATGAGGATCGAATTTTGTGATGTGAGCCACTAGAGGTTGAAAAAATGGGCCGGGTTAGGCGGGTCAACCCTAACTCGGCCCACCTTAAGGACGGGCTGGGTTCAACCCAGTCTAGGTATCCCCTGTCGGGTGGGTTGGGCCTTCATAGGCCAAGTCAACGGGTTATTTTTATTTTATTTTTCGCCCAACCCGTCGAGTTGGCGATTGTCAACCTGTCGAGTTGGCAACCGCCAACCATTGGATCGAAAAAAATTAAAAAATTAAATTTTTATATTATTTTATTTTTTACAAAAACTCATTTTACCCTTCAAATATAGTTGTTTTATAGCAGTTGAATGGGTCTTTTTGGTTATTTTCTTTTCCCAATTTTCTCTATAAATAGGGTCTAAACTTCTCATATTTGCTCACATCCCAAATTCTCTCATTCTCTCATTTTCTTTATAAAAATCTCTCAAATCTCTTTGTTGTCAATTTACTGTCATTTTAATTTTTATTAGTTTTTACAATTTTCAATTCATATTTCCAAATTCCAATTTTCCTTCTTTAATTCTTTTATATCCAATTTTTTTTTTTTTTTAACTAGTTAGGATAGATATTTCCATCCCACCATCAATTTCGATGATGAAGAAAATTATCCTAGTCCTCCTTAATTTACTATCATAAATGCAATAGATTCAAACAGTCTCACTTTCCCATTCTCAGAATCTGATACACCTCATAATATTTCCCCTTCCTCCCCATGCTGGTACAACTCCCGATGGTTCTAGAGATCGTTCTCATAATCGTCGTCCTCGTCCAACTCCATCTGAAGTAGAAGCGGGTTTAGCAACTGCAGTCAGAACTGATGACAGGCACACATAAGACATTTGGATGCATTTCGAAAAGTTTTACGAGATATAAAATGGAGTTCAAGTGAAAAAAGTAAGATACAAGTATTGTGAAAATATTTATAAAGCTGATACAAGTAATGGTACTAGTACTTTAAAAAGGCATGCTAGTAAACATATAAATCATCATGAAAATAGAAAAACCAATCAAACTCAAATAACTAATATATGTAATACTTGGCGTTATAATTCTTATGTATATAGGGAACAATTAGCTTTATATATTGTTGTAACTGATCAACCTATTAATATGACCGAAGATAAATATTTTGAAAGATTTATTAAAAATTCATTTTTTGAAGAATTTAAAACTTATTCTAAAACTTCAACTAGAAATGATTTAATAAAATTGATTGGGAAAATGAAATTAGAATCAAGAAATAAAATACATAGTTGTCATGTAAGTGTGACTCTAACAGCCAATATTTGAAGTCGTTGAGCTAAACATGATTATATTTATGTGACTAGTCATTATTTTGATAACGAATATAAATTAAATAAATCTTTATTGGAATTTAGATTAATGGATGTGGATCATAGTTGTCAACAAATTTATAATAAAATTATTGAAGTTTTAGAAGATTATGATATTGTTCACAAAGTGATAAGTTTAACTTTAAATAATGCAAGAGCTAATAGGAGAGATATAAATTTTTTAAGCAAATTTTCTTTTTATGACAATATGAAGTTTTTTCACCAATGTTGTGCATGTCACATTATTAATTTAATTGTAAAAAATTGTATGAAAAGAATTTGTAATAATATTGATAGAATTAGTGATTCTTTAGCTTGGATAACTAGTAGTAATAGAAGAAATGCTGAATTTCAAGATGATTGTAAAAAATCAAATTTGTCTCCTAGAACTTTTGCATTAGATATGCCTATTAGGTAGAATAGTACTTATTTAATGCTTGATTCATGTTTACCTTATGCAAATTTAATTAGTTATTTTGTAACAAATTATAGGGATCCTCATTATTTGGTAGAGAGTGATTGACATATAGCTCAAAAATTTCATTCTTTTCTTAAAATTTTTTATCTTGTCACTTTAAAACTTGATAGTGTGTATTATCCTACTAGTCTAATGGTAATACATACAATTATAAAAATTTCAGATTTATTTGCTCGAAACAGAAATAATGAAATTTTAGCGGGACCAAAGAGAATGGAATTAAAATTTAAAAAATATTAAAAACTCATTCATTCTCTTTTTTGTTTAATTGCCATATTTGATCCCAGTATTAATTTAGCGGGTTTAGAAAATAGTTTAGACACGTTAAGTGAAAATTTACAAAAAGAAGCGTATGTCAGTCAATTAGGAGAGATAAGATAGTGTCTTGGAGAGGTATATTTGTAATATAAAATCAGGTATGGGAACCAGCAAAGAGGCGCAATACCCAAGGAAATAGCATTAGAAGACACAAATGAAGACTTCGACTCCTAGAGTGCACTTACTAGGCCGAAGAAGACCCAAACCTGAAGCATAGCCTCCTCTTTAGAAGCATCAACAACAAATATAATGTCCTCCATGCAGCTACAGAGTAATGAGCTTCACCAATATTTGGGAACCCCTGACTTGCTACCAGAAAATCCACAACAAAGAGCCAACTTTGATGTCTTGGAATATTGGAAAACCAGAAAATGTATTTTTCCGGTACTATCAAGACTTTCCCTAGGTGTTTTCTTGTTTTTGTCTCAACCGTCTCATCTGAACAAACATTTAGTGCAAGTGGAAGAATTTTAAATGAAAGGAGGACTAAACTTTTACTAAAATTGATTGAAGTCTTCACATGTCTTCGAGATTGGGAACGGTCGCGCCATCAAGATCAATACGAGGTTGTCGGTGATACTTTAATTGAATCATTTCAATTTTATAATTTAGATGATACAGATAAAAGAGATCCTAGTCAACCCTCAAATTAGTTGTTTTGTAATTTGTAAATTAACGGTCAATTATTGCACTCTTTTTTTCCTAGCCAAGTTTTTGTCCCAATTGAGTTTTTCTTGGTAAGGTTTTTAACGAGGCAATACTTGTTATAATTTCTTATTTTATTTTTTGATAAATAAATAAATATAATTTTTCTTATATTACAATTTAATCATATTAAAATTGAATTAATATTTGAAATGTTAACTAAAAAAAAAATTAATTTAATTGAATTGATATTTGAAAAATTAACTAAAAAAAAAAATCACAAAAGAAAAAAAAATTTGGGTTGGCCCACACAAAAACCCCGTCGGGTTAGGGTTGCAGGCCGAGCCGAGCTGATCCTTTTAGACAAAGAGGTAGGTCGGGTTAGGCCCGACCTATAATTTGGCCTACAGGTCATTTTTCCACCTCTATAAGCCACTGACAATCTAATGGACCTATAGAGGAGGGTTTTACGGTTGTGGGGGCTCGGGTAGCACCGAGATGTCGTCGAAATATTCTGTGACCTTGAGGGTAAGAGTGCTAGAACTAGTATGTGATTTTCTGAATGCCTAATTAGAGGGTTTGCCCTTGCTTATATGGTAAACCTAAGGGATCCAAATCAGACTCGAAATCCTACTAGGTGGAGGAGTTTTAGTTTAGGAAGGAGATATGATCTAGTTCCTTTATCAGGTTAAGCTTAACATTATGAATGAGATCCGAGATCTTGATAGAAGTAGAAACAAGATAAGATTTTGTTTCCTATTCATGGATTGCTGTGAGCTAGTGGGCTTGAGCCAACTTAGCTTATCTTGCAGGGTAACCCAACTCATAGAGAGGACAATTTGCAAAATTGATTTAAGCATAGGCCCAACCGGAATTGGGCTAAGGCTTTGGTTGTGGCCTATCCATTTCTTTATTGGGCCTTGTGAGGACCAATACTATTTTTTGCCCATATAATTTTGAGCTTATTTAAATTACTAGATTTTCTTTATATTAAATTACATTCATAAGAGTATAGGCTTCGTTTGTTTCAACTTTCATAATACTACTTTTAGTATTCCCAAAAAAGTTAAACAGTAAAATACCCAAAAACTTTGATTTTTGGGAATACTACTCTCAATATTATTCAACTTTTTTTAAACCCTTTAAATTTGATAATTTAATTAAATACCCCTAAATATTTTGTTAAAAATTATAAAAACACCCCCGTAATTTTATTTACCAGATTCTGGCCACCACTGCCGGAAAGTGGCCGGAATCTATTAGAATGGGCACTACGGCTGAATCTGGCCGGTAGGTAGTGCGCTGATCTAGCCTTTTTCGGTCAGATCCACAGTGGATCTGGCGGAAAAGGCCAGATCTAAGGCCAAAGATCTGGCCGTTGACGGCCGATTTTGGCCGAACAGTTTATAAAGACGGCCAACAAACGATCGTCGTTAACCATCGTTGATGGTCGTCGTTGACGCAGCAAATACGGCTAGATCTGGCCGTTGACAGCCAGATCTGGCGTAGATCTGGCTTGTCGGCCAGATCCAGTGGATCTGGTGGCAAAGGCCATACGGCGCCACGACCGGCAAGATCCAGCCGGTCATGGGCCAATACGGTGAACCCGGCCACCTCCGGCGGTGGTGGCCGGCTGTCCGTATTTGACATTGGGTTGGGGGTGTTTTTGTCAACTTTTAAGATTTTATTATGGGGTATTTTGTAAATAAACAAATATAGGGGGTATTTTATAATTTATAAATATACATCGTAATACCCGCCAATTCAACTTTTTTTTAACTTTTTTCAGAAAAATTTTCCCAAAAAA